TATGACCTACATTTGAAAAACTAAAGTTGGTGCTGATATCTCAAATTCTAGAAGAGTTGGTATAAATTTCATATTTTTTTCGAAATCATTTTGAAAAACTGCCATGAGAATGTGAAATTCCTATTTGAATATTTTCATAAATAAAGAAGTTATGGAGGAGACATGAAAATGATCAAAATCTGTTTTTTGCGTATAAAACAAAAACGAATAGATTTTATCAAAATATTTTTTCACATTAAAGTTGGCCTTGACAAACTCCACATTTGGTGTCATTTAACCGACCTCGTATCTCTCACCGTTAAAAAGATACCCATGGTGAGCATGGTAAGTGGGACACACTGTATATATATACCCACAAGGAATGGTTTATTTGCAGCGATTGAATTTGCGCAAAATGCTTTGGATGGTTCTGTTGTGTCCATGAAAAGGCTACGAAAAAAACCAGGCAGAATGTATTTTTGTGACATCGTTTATAAAGATAAAGATATCCTTGATGAAAGTTCTTATCATGTGTGAACAGGACATCGCAGTGAAGGTTCAATTTCTCGACATCTCGTGTACTTTTAACATCTTTGAGATGTTTTTGTGCTCGCTGATGGGTATTATCTAGCCTCAATGCTAATTATCCTACTACAATGAAATGCATGTTGACATCTTTCAATCCATATCATTTATCAATAAGGTTCCTATAGCACAGTGGACAAGGTGTGAGGATAAAAAAAATCGTGTAGATTTTGAGAACTCCCGATCTTGCGCGATCTCGCAAAAGCTCTCAAAATTCACGAAGCACAGGCTCCGGCGTCTGTGTGCGACCGTCTGATATTTCTACGAAACTACTTCATCAGTTATTAAAAGTGAGAAGAAAGCTCACTTGCAGTACAAATTCCGCAATTGCAGCTCAAAAGAGGGATAGAAAGCACTTAAAAAGTTCAGTGTAGTCAAAGCAAAGGATAATATGAGCTCACAGTGCATCTTCGAGATGTGAATTAAATTAAGTTTCTCTCCAAATGACATTGAAAGTGGATTTTTAATTACACTTAACAGGCAGAAAAGGTGTTCTTTTACTGCCTAGGCAGAAAAAGTTTGTTGCTATGCAACGTTTATTGGAAAGCAGGGTTCATGAGAGTCTACAAAGACACCGCATGCGCATTACCAAATAAGAAAATTTGGTTATATTGTTTTGTTTACCTCATTTGATTAAACCATTAACATTAAACTGTGATTTTATTTGTGTATTGTTCGAGCTGAAAAAAAAAATATCATGAATAAAAGGAAAAGTGCAATCTTCCAAACACTAACAGCATTTACCTTCGACAATTGTTTTGATGGTGATGATGATGAGATGGAGGAGGAAATATCACATTTGATGTTGTCTTCTGGTGTAATGAATGAATACTCTCCTAAACGAAGACGTATTTGTATTGAGAATTATGAAGATGTGATTTTACACTACTCCACTACAAGTAAAATGAACAGTTTATATAATTGTGTCACAAATTCATCATAAAAAAATTATTTTACAGATTTCCAGTGTCATTTTCGCTTAGAGAGAAGCACTATTGGAGACATTCTTGAGAATCCACATATTTCGCATCTACCTAAGATTTCCTCGTTCTGCATTTCTTTGGTTTTCAAATTTCAAGTGGTATTCTCAGTATTGTTTTTATTTCAAAAGATTTAGGTCATGTCTACTCAGGTCCGTAACCTAATACGTTCGTGAACTATATTATCTTGGGTAGGTGATCCGAGTCAGATTGCAATAATCCGTCACGTGACCTCTCTGGAATGAGTTAGCGACCCAGAGTAAGTGTCCGAAAACGCCTTATGCTGATTGAAGAGGTACCCTTCTAGATTCGAGTTGAGCAAAATCGTTAATAACATCTTCAAAATTTATGTTTTCGGGCATATCACATTCTATCGACATTAGCGACAAACTATTCAATCTCTCTTGCAGCATTGTACTTCTTAATCCATTTTTTAGTCGTATAAATTTGGAGAAGGAGCGTTCCCCACTGCAGTTAGTTCAGATTTTCAGGGGAACTAGGGGGCCCCAATCCTTGCGGGGCCCTGGACACGTGCCCAGTGGGGAAGAGGGGCCTGCTATCGCTCTTCGGATATACTGATTTAGCCTAGGAAAAACTAGTTTATCCTAGAATCGGATTTTCCGGTAACATATCCATCTCAAAGAATGGAAATTCATTACTCTAAATTTCTTCATGGAAAATGGAATGTGGTTTATCTTTGTCATATCTTAGCCATTTTATCTTCAACCAGTTATTGACCTTACCCCCTTCAGTATTGGTCTTTCTGTTGGAGATACTATATATTCCAGTTCTTTGTGGAAAGAAATTCTTGTAATTTCATTTCTCTTATTTGAAATGGATTCTGGATCTTTCTGCAGTGTCTATCGAATTTATCCAATCCCAAAGTCCAAAAATAGACTATTTCTTCTTTGCTTTGGATTCAACCAAACAAAAATCGGCATCATTTGGCAGTTAATGATGACCTGATATTAGAAATTTGTGGTCAATAATAGCTTTTGCCAAAATTTTCTCAATTTTATATTCCTATTTTTTCCAGTGCAAGAATCTGATTACATGATTTGACCATGGATGGGCAGCTTGCTCTTCAAGATGCTTCACAAGTCAAGCTGCAACTACTTGGGAACTTTTAGAGCACTCAGTCTAGTTCCAATGAACATGTATTATTTATTATCATTCACTATATGAACTCCTAAGTAATGAAAATAACTACACAAAGGTGCTGAGTTCTGGAAATGCAAAAGCTTTCTTCAAATCGAAAGTAATCACACAGATTTCCTCGCCAGCAAGACTCCTATAGATCTTTGGATGGCGGTTTGAAATGCAAATTGAAATACCTGTAGAGAACGTGATAATACATTTTTTTTCTATAGGTTCTGTCGCACTTCTCTGCATAGATTGCAATTATTTTGTTTATAATAGATTCAATGAGTACTCATCCAGAATAAGTAGATAAACAAGTCAAACGCCAACAGTATGCCGAATCCTGTGGCCAAACCTGACTTACACTGATTGGCACCCGAACAAGCTTATACATTTATTCCGACGACAGTATCAGTGCTGGCATCAATGGTTAGATTATGAAAATGATGACTTAATTGGGTTAATCACAAATTATGTAACTTTATATGGCATTTCTTGATCGACTAAGTATCTATTTTTTTATTAATTTTACCATTCCATTGCTTCATTTGAAATAAATGTATTTGTTGAATATTACCTCTTTTTTCGAATTTTTTCGTAAAATTGACAAATATTTCTTGAAGAAATAAAAGTGTCATAGCATCACAATAGTAAAATATCTATCGGATACAAAAAGGCAGCGAGGGTCGCATCTTCACCTTCAGTCATATATTGATTGTGAAAACAAAGTGTTCTAGTGCCTATAAAAATATACAGGCTTCACACACGCCAAGATATGTTTTAAAAAATTTCCCCAAGGGTGGGTATGTTCAATCCTACTAAGCAAATTTGAAAGCTATGCTGATGCAAGGTTGTAGCAATTACGGAAACGGACGTTCAACAATAATGCAAATATAGATAATGTTCCAGCATTGTCACAACAACATGTAATATTGCTGCAACGCTACATTATCAATCTTCACCTTTGCTCAGTGGGACGTGGATCCAAAATTGTATTGCAAGCAACTATTGCAAATATCTTTCATCAAAATGTTGTCATCATAGCTAGCCATTTTATATCAATTGTTACAACTGTACATGAAGGTATTGGTTTCAAAAGAATTTTCGAAAAATTGAAAAATACGACATTTTACTTAAATGGTTTTTATTTTTCAACATTACATAATGAACCAAATCATAAATTAAAGAAAAAAGATGATGAGAGACCTATATCCAGCTGTAAAATACTCATATTGCTTCCTAGTGACAGAATATATGTCCGGTACGAAGTGGCCCCCTATTTACTTGAAACCTTTTCAGTACATTTCTGAGAGTCAAAGTAACGTCGGCGAAAGCCAGGTAATTATTAAAATAAATACCGAAAATCTACTAAATAACTGACAAAATCGAGCAGTGAACTGCATAAATAATGAAATCAACAGGTTTTGACAAAAAATACGAAGCGTCAATAGTTATGTACTTTGCATTGACTATCCAAGTTCCAGTATGTGGAGTAGGTAAATTATTTAGTACGATAGTAGGACTGGTCATTTCGCAAAAAAATTTACATCCCATGTAATTTTTACACAACCTGCTGCGAATAAAATGACCAAAACTACCTCTGTCCAGTAGTTCTGAACCTCTGCAACTGTAAAAACAAGTTCGGGGAAAAGAAGTGATCCCACTTACATAATAAAAATATATATCAATAGAATTAAAATTTCATCATTTAATTAAACAGAAATAATTTAACTGCATTCAATTATTTAAAATACATCTGAATATATACATTGTACAACTTTTTTAGTAGTATGAATGACTGTGACACAAAAACTGATTTTTCGTTCATAGCAGCCAGTGCTAGATGGGTAACTTAACAAAGAGGTGTAAATATTCCAGTGCTTTAACCATGAGATCAAACTTTTAGAATCTGCTCTTGCTCACTGTAAAACCCATTTTGAACTTTTTATAATATTCAAATTGGTTAATTTGGAGTAATACACCACCTACCTACATCATCAAATAGGTAGCCATGAAGAGATTTTCACTATTCAAATTCATAAACAGAATCTACAAGTTCGATATTTTTGTTTTCAACACTTCTTTGTTAAATTATCGGTGGACACACTGTGTATCATATAATTTGAACTAAATACTATATTGTAGAAAAAATATTACAATTAAAAGAAATAATTTCATGAATTAAAACGTTTTTAACAAGACACTCAAGACAAATATAACTAACTAAATAGAAAAATGTCAGGTTATCCTTACTAATAAATAAGTGGGAACAAAATTATTTACTTGTAATTGATTGTTTAATGTTTAAAATTTCATCAAATTTACTTGAATAATTACGTATAAACAATATCCTAAGCACCTTAACATATCCATGTAATCTACAAATAATACAACTATCTTCACAGCAAAGCTGAAATGACGGTAGAAAAAATGAGAATAAAATGATACAATCGTGCACCTTCCACATTCGAAATTCTCCAAATCAACCACAAACACAACTATTAAATCAGACATTTCGAGAATGTTCTTTGTAAAAAAATTAAAAATGTTATGATATTTAGGGAATCAATGATAAAACACTCACATTTCCAAGTACAATCAATATTAATTTACAGTGAACACTCTTCTTACCACATTCACCAACACTTTACTTCTCATCCTTCTCAAACTTAATTTTTTTAACGTATAGCGGTTTCTCATCGGGTTGGCGCTTTGTTGCTTTATTTGTTGATTGTGGATCTGGAAAAAAGGCTTATACTCGTGAACGATATTCGAATGTTCTATAGACGCCTACAAATCAGACTTCCACTACAGAATCAACATGCCACAAAGATTTCCAAAATATCACCTGTAGTTCAACAGATTTAATACAAGATTTATATCACAAGTTGCAGAGATAATATTTTTTGCCCTGGACGTAAATATCGACATCATCGTGTGTAACAAACTCGCCATTTTGCGGAGTATTCGAATCTTTTTGTAATGTTGTCGAATACTTGTCGGCGAACAAAATCATAAGTCGCATAGACAAAAAAATTCCAGGTTGAATACCTTCAAATTGAACATAACATTATTTCTAGAGTTTCAACAATATCATATGAAATTCAGTTTCCAAGTTCTTATTTTGCTGTAATTGATATAAAATTATCATAAAATAAAAATAATATGGGAGCAAGTGAAATGTATTATAAATACTGTCTGTGGTATCGACGTGGTGGATGTTCATTTCTCGAGATTTTCTGCGATTATCTCTTCTCGTTTTTCTAAATGACAATAAGAGAATCATCTCAATATACTCATAGCAAGGACAAAGAAGGTGTCACTGACTATCAGTAAGAAACCCAGATAGCACAGGACGTCCCGAGGACGTCCATTTATGGTCGAACCTCCCAAACTCTAACGTCCTGAGGATGTACGATGTCAACTATTTTTGTTATGGTGGTAGATTTGAACCAATGCCAAATGGCACTACAAAAAAGTAATCTCTTAGATAAAATTATGAACATAAAATCTAATTCCACACTATGCATGTGCAACTGATTATGTGCTACTAGAGAGAGAGAGAGAGAATATTTGAGGGTGCGAATCTTCATGAAAAATTAATGGTAAACTTTGAAAAAAATGTCACGAAAATACTGTGCCGAAGTTTGAAAAAAATCAAAATTGACTGATATTTTGGAAGCTGCTCAAGATATCAATAATGTAAATATTCTTTTCTGTTTTAGATCAATTTATGGGGATTGAGAACAGAATTGAAGATCAAAATGATGACCTAATTGAAGTAGGGCCCAATGTCAGTGAGAAGGAAAATTTGAATCCAGTGTTCAAGGCTTGTATTGAAAGAGGTAATGTTTTTACTTTCCATATGTTGCATATACCATCAAATGGCATAGGCCATAAACATATTTTTTCAACTTGGTGAAACCTCTCAGATAAAAGTTTCAAGACCATTTTTGAACAAATCCATATAATTCGAGGAATCTCAATTGATATATTATCTGAAGTGAATGCTATGACTAAGAATACAAATAGAAGTAATATTCTGGAGAACAATTGCAACATCAAATTCCCATTGAAAACAATGGATGAAATTGATGTTTTGGAGCGAATTTTAAATAGGGAGGATGATTTTCAACTATTGGTATGTATAACTTTAACAGTAAAATATCATGCAACATATTAATTTGATTAATTTTATTATTTCAGGTCTTCGAATTTGCGAAAATTGGTGGCACAAATTGTATAGTTTTGTGAAAAGGGTTCTTTCTAGTAGCCTTATTAACGAGATGGCACTGAAATATATTTCGTTGGGAAGAAAAGACAGTATTTAAGAAAAGGAAAACTAAATTTGTCAAAAACAAATATGACCAAAGTTATAATAAGTTTTTCTATTTCTAGTTGCAGCAGAAAAAGCTGACATTTCCCACGACAGAACAGACACCGAAATAGCAATACAGACTTAAGCGGGCTAGTGATAGGAGGAACAGTGCTATAAATAATAATTGAAATAATTATTTATAAGATCAATAATTATTATGAGTTTAAGATTCATGTTATATTTTTCTGAATCACACGTTTGGTTCACTCTTTTAATATCCAAATAATTGTAAGATCCAAACAATTATGTGTGTGAGATTTATGTTATATTATTCTGAATTATGTTTGGTTTACTTCAATTAGATTATTTATAATGCTGATTTCCCTCAAAAATTTTATTTTGTTAATGCAACTTCTTAAGTCTGGAAATGTCAAACCTGTTCTTGGTAGTTTTACTTTTTATCGAAATTTTACAGAGATCAACTATACAAATTTGTGTTGATTTGATTCTGGGAAACAAGGTATAGGTACTTATATTTTATTCCTTTATTCATTTAGCATGTTTGTATGTCCATGTTTGCTTCACAAGTGGCACTTCGCTTGAAAGACATAGGAATGAAAACAATTCCATAATCCTTTTTACATCTGAATACTTCAAATTCCACTTCAATTGATCTCTAAAGAAACCATGAAATGCAATCACCATCATACCATTTTGGAATCTGGATCTGAGAATGTAACAGAAGATAGGGTGTTATATTTAAATTACCGATGTCGTCATGTATATGACACAAAACTCTAGTGAGTGTACTAGAATGACAATAGTGATATTTTTCCAATCTGAACTAACTTTTACTAGTACTGAAGTACTAGTAGTTCAAGTGAAATATGTCGGTTAGTTCGGAATACAAGAATATCACTAATAAAGCTGGGTAAGCTGGGGGATATAAAATCATTCAGAAATATTCAAAACATGAAGAAGCAGATACCAGGATAATTTTGCATACAATATATATGGAACAAAGATAAGCAACTAAATTCAACATAAAAAATGGGTGGAATCAGTTGCTACAGATTTTATTCAACAAATCAACTTTTTTCTGTTCTGACTCTTGAAATGAACTTATACATTCATTACTTTTTTGGAATTTTATCTTCTAGTTTCTATAAAATGAAAATATGAGTATTATTTCAATGTAAGTACCTACGTGTAGTGAGGACAAATCAGATTATTGGCCCAAAATGCTGTGTTTAAAAAGCTTGCTATCTGAGAGCCTAAACGAAAAATTGATACACTTGTCAGTTACAATTCGTATTGAAAAAAGGTATGGAGAAGAGAAATAGATATATAGACAAAATATCGACATTCTAATTTGCTCTCGTTTCGGGAACGAAGCTGCACTCGTTTTCAACATGAAAATGGAAAATATGTTTCTCGTAAATTTGCCAGTTATTAGTTTCGACACTTCTCAGTGACAAATGGTGACGTTGGCGAACAGATGAGTTACAGAATGTTTCCACTAATTAATCTTGAATTCACCATTTTCATATTATAGAGAAACGAGGAGAAAATCCGAAAAAATCTGGAATAATAAATATACCACCTCCTCGATTAACCTACAGACAGTATTTAACCTACAGACAGTATTTAACCTATACATCTACCGCATCAGCAACATAGGAACACAATAATTGATAATAACAGATGGTTCTGGTTGAAATTTGACTATGACGCTTGGATCCCAATATTTTCCAGCGATAAACCAATTCCTGATTTCGTTAGAAAACCATTGGATATTTATCATTCAGAGGAAAATTGTAATAGTGGAAAATGTGGTTGCTTCAAAGAGTGTAAATGTATTTTTTTAAACATAATTATGGTATTAAAGATAATGAGATGTAGCAGAAAATAATACATTAGACTATAGATATTATATTTGTCAAGAGAAAAATAATAATTGCAAAAAACTTACTTAGCTTGAAATAATGATTGATGTATAATTGCCAATTGGATGGTTCAATACCATGAAATGGAAATAACAAAAGGCACCATCCCATCAAAAGTCTAAGTATTTCACCAAACAGATCTGTAGTCAGCAGGCATTGAACTGGGGAATGAGAGAGCCGGGCGCACGGGAATGCAATTTTAGCCCGTTTTGAAAAAATCGCTGAATAGATATTTACATGAAACCTCATGAACACAAAAACTTCCTCTATACTTTAGCACCATTTTGTTCGCATCATGTATAAACAAATTTTGAAAAATAAAAATTCTTATCGATTACTAAAAATTACATTCACAAATGGAAATAAAGTTTTCCATTATTTGAAAAATCTCCATGAATATCTCATAATCATACGGTACATGGTTAGTAGCGCTATTCTGTCCTCTTTAATTTGAAAAAAAAGTCAGCCTGAAAGCACAATTATTTTGAGAGATATTGGAAGGAGACGTAAAGAAACAATACATTTGAATGAATTTTTACGAAATTTTTTGAAATTTGAAAGTTCCCGACCACCAAAAAATGTCGCAAAAGGTGATTTCGAGTACACGATCACCTACTTGAAGAAATGCACCACGTCTGGTATGGTTCTACGCCAGTTTTACTTTTATCAAGAACTAAACGACAGCTCTCGAAATTTACTAGTCTATTGTTCAAATTTGGGCTAAGCTTGCACCACAATTTTGTTGCACTCAAGAAACAAGTGACACTTTTTTCACAAAAAATAAGACCTACTGTATCAATTGTATTGGGACTAAAATACTTCATTATGATGATCTGATCATTCTTTTGTTTAGTGAAAGTCAAACAATCTCATGACGAAAATTTGTGACTTACATCCTTGCTTGAATAAATGACAAATATGATAACAATAAATGGGGTGAAATGTTTGCAATACTAAATTATAATGAAATTATATGTTTACCTTGTAACCACCTAACTTGTGTAGCAGGACCATAGCCTTTGTCATTTTTGGCAGCGATACGGAAAATTATAGCAGCTTTCGTCGATGTATCAAGGTGTGCAACTGCCAACGAGGTGTTCGCCACTACACATTGGTTGTTTGGTCCACAATACACTCTGACAAACGCCAATTGTCCAGGAGGATTTGTTTTGTCCTTCAAAGAAACATTCCAGTCAATATGATTATTTATTGATTTATTTATTTTTAAATTACATCCAGCAGGCCCGAGAGCCCAATAACAGGTGTATATAATTTAAAGCTAAGTGGATAGGGAAAACAATGTTTGAATATCAGTTAGGAATGAATCTGAGAATAACACGTTTGAACTGTGCGAATGATAAAAAGAAAATATCGATATCGTTTACGCTGTTACGCTGTTTGCCGGCGATACGTGAATGGAATGACAGATTTCACTAATTGACGCCGACATACAGAGTGACCCATTTGAAAGCGGGCCACCCCTGTATCTCACGTAATCGTTGGGTAAGGATCATGAAATTTGCTGGAGCGAGAGATATACCAAAAATGCACTCTATGACCAAGTGGGGTAATCTTCAGTGATATACACTGCTCGCCAACAGCCATGGAACCACCCCAATTTCCGGAAAATGATATTAGGAGTCAAAATAGGTTGAAAATCACTTCGAATTCGGAATCAGGACGCCCAATTCACTAACTCTTCATATTTTTCCTTGAAAATTTTCAGTTCTGAAAAATTAAATTTTGTCGCACTTTTCACGGAAGCACCCCCGTATCTCACGTAATTGACTTCATCTTTGGACTTTCCGTTCCTCCTGCAAATTTTAGAACCCTACCACAATAATTACGTGAGATACAGGGGTGCGCTTTCATGAAAAGTGCGCCAAAATGTCATGTTTCAGAACTGAAAATTTTCAAGGAAAAATATGAATAGTTAGTGAATTGGGCGTCCTGATTCCGAATCCGAAGTGATTTTCAACCTATTTTGACTCCTAATATTATTTTCCGGAAATTGGGGTGGTTCCATGGCTGTTGGCGAGCAGTGTATATCACTGAAGATGACCCCACTTGGTTATAAAGTGCATTTTTGGTATATCTCTCGCTCCAGCAAATTTCATGATCCTTACCCAACGATTACGTGAGATACAGGGGTGGCCCGCTTTCAAATGGGTCACTCGTATATATTACAAAGCAGAGCAGGAAGAAGGAAGATCTAGCCTTCAAAGCCACCTAGTACCAAAGTGCAAAGGCATTCAACTAGATTGTTTAACCTTGTGGATATAAATTGAATGCAGACCCCTAAGTCTCGGCTACAGAGACAAACTGGCACAACCCTGCAGACTGTTGCAATACCTGGATATCTTAAAGTGGTTCAATGTACCACCGACAAAACCTATTTATTGAATTCAAAATCAGTTTTGCAGATTCAGAAAATAGACATTTCCTAGTATGTGGCCAGGATGCCTTTATATTGCATAGAAGTGAGTCAATGGTGCGAAATGACATGGGCTAGGGAGTAAATGAATGCAAACTTGTTGAAACATTTAGTTCATCTTCACAAAAAATTTATCATATTCAAAATTCTAAATTTTTGACAATTTGTATGAATTGTATACTCCAAAATGAAACATATTTCTTTGATGAAAAAACTTTCAACAGTTAATATCTCTCATTTAGAGAATGTCTTGAAGATGCTTAATTTGATTTGAGCAATTCATTTAATTCTCAGATCATCAAACAATTCACAGATATCTTGCAAAAAATACATTGCTGTTGTAAGATCCACAGATCATTGAAATAGTTTGTTTATAGAATAGCTGAAACACATTTAATAGGAATTTATATTTTGAAACCTTATCTCTGAATGCTTTTAACTTTTTTGAATCAAAATTATTCTGAATGTGAGGAATTGATAATGAACATAATAGTGCAGGAGAGGAAAACGGACTCACCTTCCCCTTGACTGCCAAGTAAACAGAGTACTCGAGTATGCCTCCTTGGTTAGCACTTGGTGGCTCCCACGATAAATGTGCTCCGTCACCAGATTTGGCTATTTTGATTGCAGATGGTGCTCCCGGAAAACCTGGCAGACAGGTTTTGAATGCCGAAACCTGAATAATTGAAAAAACAAAGATAATCGATACTTAAAACGCAACACCAAAAATGTATTATGAAATCTAAATCATTCATTCTTCGAATTATCCGTGTAACTTCGATGTTTTTTTCTGAACCCTTGTATGCATATGCCACCAATAATGCAACAAAAAAATTTGAATTGTTAGATACAAAATGGCATATCATGTCATTGTTGAAAATTATATTATGGTTAACGGCTTAATTTATGTGTTTAGGTAGTGGTTCTTGGAATTTATAAAAAAATTAAGAAAGAAAAGTCGACATTAGTGTTTCTTTGAAATGCTGATAATACAAAATCCGTCAGAAATGTTCGGTGGATAAAAAATAATATGACATTTAGAATTCAGAAAGAATTGCTAACCAGTTACTTTCACAAGTTCTCATTGAGAATTAATGAAGTTCATGATTACAATAGGAGAAGAAATAACAATTATTACATTGAAAAAATAACACTAAATTTGGAATGAATAGCATGTTTCATAAAGACTCAAATTAATTCAATGAACTACCACAATTTGTAAGAGAATTAAATTCAGTAAGACGATTTGAGTCATCATTAAAGAAGTGTATCGGTGACAGCTCATTGTGATACTTAGTATTCTTCACTTCTTTCTTTCTTTTTTGTTTGTTAATGTCATTTGATCTATCAATCTAGTGATATGTATACTGTGCTTTTCTTTAAATGTCCTCCCATATATTCGTTATATTTATATTTACATACCTTTATAAGATATTTATAGATTTGTAATTGTTTTTGTATATTAGGCTTGCCTACTTGATAAATAAACAATCATAATAACTTATTGCACTCATTACATTTATAAAATGTACAAGCCAGTCAAACGAAACAAAGATGGTTCAATGAAATAGGAGCAATTTCAAAAGTGGTTTGTGGGCATTGTTTTTTTGTATGCGAATTCTCAATGTATTTCTTTATATATATATCCATTTTTTGTTTTCATAAATATATCTGAGAATGTTCCTTTATAATAATTTCACCCAATCAAGGGGTTCAAACTTGTAAACTTTTTTATAGACCTCAATCGCAGATTCGAGATTAGGTTTTTCTCAATTCAGAATTTCTCTCCACGTCCTGTATGATGAATGTCAATTTAAAAACCAATTCCCAAATGACAGGAGTATATGTCAACAAATCATAATAATTCTGAGATGTCAGTCCGTTATAGTTTTAGTTATATTATAATGAGATGAAAATTGTGTATATCATGAAGAATTGCCAGAAGAATAACTGGACTTCAGGTTACTAATGAGGATATGATATCCGAAATGAATTCATATAACCTGTTTGTGAGAGATATAATGGGGAAGTTTCCTATATTGAGGTTTTTATCTAACTGTGAAGTTTGTGAAAAATCAATATATACGTATTTTTTCTTCTTTTCGTTAGATGAAATTTCACTTCAGAAAAAAATTAATAAAAGAGGAACTTGGCTCCTCCACCATTCCTATGACGTATTTTCCGAAAATCCACATTCACACAGAGTTAAAATACGATTGCCTGTGTCAGTACGACGTTGCCAACATTATCATTATGTCTAGATTTTCGGAAATTGTTCTTTGAATGCATAATAACTATATCATAACAGCAATGGGATGTAATAGGTTCTTCAATCCTGCTTTGTCAAGTATTATGAATAATTCCCATAAATCTCTCATTGGCTGAATGAAGTTGATTACTAATAAAGATAAATTGAGATATTTTGCGATAGTATCTATAATTTTTCACTATCGTTATATTACAATATGTTATTCATAACTTGTCAGTCATTTTTTTGGTAATGAATTCGTTCCTTAATAAAACGGATCTATTTTCTAGGATTGTTGCGGATTATATCTTGCAACAGCGCATAATGGGTGCCGGCTTCATTCTGTTCTGACCGATGGCAGTAAATTAGGAAGGATAGTATCATTGAATGTAGCCGATAGTGATTCATTGATTCGATGACATTTCCGTTTAGGATCGAGCTCTATTCGAGATATTTCAATGCATAAATAACAAATTTTGTTATTTATGCAAGATATGGTTTTAAACCATATCTTGTCAGAATGAAGGCAACTACCCTCTGCATTCCTGCTCCGGGTGCATTTGTAGTTATGTATGTTTTTGTATACCAATTTTACTTTTACTTCTATTTTTTTCATTCGTTTTTCATTCGATACCTATTCGCTAGCTATATTCTTCACCATCAGCTATTTTCAGACTAAATTCAGAATGTACGTCACAAATTGCTTTAATTTGGAAATGAAAACAACTTGGACTTTATCGTTCGCCATTCCGTACAGCGTGGACATAAAACTGGAGAGTTCCGAACTTATTTTATGAAAATTCATCTGAAGGAAACTTCCCCATTCCCATATCACTGAAACCAATGATTTTTTTGGAAGTTCCAAACTCATCAAGATCAGAGTTCATAAAAGTATACTTCTCTTATACATTTTCTTTTCAATACTGAACATTGGTAAGTTATATTTTTATATCATAATACATCATATTATTTTATACGAATTGAGAGATAATGTCAATTCTCAATTTCAGAGGATTTTGATTTTTCATGCTCTCTTTTTGGATATTCAATAGATATAATTCAATGTTCGACGTGGCAAATAGCCAGGAAAGTAGTTGTTTTCTGTTGAATATTCAGAATTATGAATGCAAATTCTCTACTTCAGAAGATTTTGTTTTCATATTCTTATCGTGTGTGTTCAATAGATGTAAATCAATATTCGTCGTTGCATATAGCCAGGAAAGTAGTTGTTTTCTGTTGAATAAACCGAGAAAGAATTAATATTTTCATCACATGGAGAATGCGAATTCTCAATGTATTTCTTTATATAGATATCCATTTTTTGTGTTCATAAATTCATCTGAGAATGTTCCTTTTCAATGTCAATATTGAGTCCATTGGCTCCGGACAACGCTGGTCCAAGTCGTTACCACCGATACAACAAGGCCAGCAGACTCTGACGTAAACAGCTCGTGACGTCGCCAAGTGAGGCCAGTGTTTTATTTTATCGCTTGTCGACTAACGCGTCAGTTCGTGTTAATTCATCGGTGATTCACATATGTTTATGAAACGGTCCCGAATTCTTTTGTTGTTTATTCATCAAAATAATTGTCGGAAAAATTACTGTTTTGTGAAATATTTTGTGTTGTGACCGGCGAAATAACAATGCCTTTCAAGTGTTGTGTTCCCTTTTGTCGGGGGAATTATGTGGGTGGTTCAAAAGTTCATGCTTTTAGTTTCCCGTTGGACGAGGAGCTATCGAAAATGTGGGTAAGTATATGCAATTCACCGCGAGGATTTTACTCCATCTAAGTATCTAAGTTCAGTAGTAAACAGAGCTTAATTTATAATGATGAATTAATAATAGAAGACAATTACTCTTACATAAAAAGTATAAGTAGAGGAAAAATAGAAAAGCTTTGATTGTGCAGTTAGATTTGTATTCGTATATTATAGTCAACAAAATCATCTCTGAATTCGAGGAAATTTTCTTGAATGTTCATAATAAACGGGCATTTTTAATTCTCATTCTCAAATTTCTTTCTGAAAACGGTCATTTGCCTTGTGGCAATGAATGCAGAATTCATTCCAATGATCAAATTGCAATTATCATATTAACATCAACTACAAACACTCTACTCAAAAAAGGTAAAACTGCATTTATCATGATATTTATCATGAAGATATTTGACTGAAAAGTTCCAAATTTCAACTTCTTTTTCACCTGTCTTCTGGATGGCATTTAGAACAAATTTCTCTTCTTTTTTCATCATATTAAACAATGTATATATAATTCAACTATAAATATGATTTTCTTGAGATTAATCCATATTTAGTGAAAAGAAGGAAGAATATCATTCAAAATAATGGCGTGTGTAATGTCATTCGAAAGCAATCTATTGACATTTGACATCTCGTATTTTGATTGACTATTGATTAAATGGTCGTCATCTAGAATGCTTGTTCACTAAATATGAAAAACTCGCCATAAAAATCATATTTCCTGTTGAATTTTCTATATAAAAATGTGCCATCGAAGTACATCATGAGTATATAAAGTGTCCAATGACAAAATAGGAGCAAGTAGCTTCAAATGCCCCCAACACAAGGGGAGAAAGAAGGCGAAATTTCGAACTTTTTCTTGAAATATCTCAATAAATAGTGGTTTGTTCACATTTTCATTATAAAATTCGGTTTATCAGTCAAAAATACGTGATACCGAAAAAAAATGTCAAAAAAAAAACCATCGCATGATAAATGCAGTTTGTCCCTTGAAAATTACGGTTTCAAGTGTAACGATCCACTTGGGTGAAAAATCCAACAGAAAATTGAAAACACTCACTGGTTATTTTTTCAGGTAATAGAAATTCTCCAAGATAAATATAGGTAATTGTAACAAACGGATGTCAATCAAAATAAAATACATTTTCCACAATTTTCTTTCGATCAATCTCACGATAAGTTTATGTTCTGCGGGCTCTGTATAAGTAGGTGTGAAGTTTACCTTCACCACAATTTTTGCCAATATATTTAATTCGAATGGGTTGCTGTAGGTGGATATTTGTGTTTTATCCTGGTTTTTGCTTTAAAACTTCGTTTTTTCCATAATAAAATCGAATGGGGTGCGAAGAAGGGCTCAGTTGACGACTGGCATCCTTTTTTAACCGGAAGCCCTTCAAAAAACAGCAAAATCGGCTCAATGATGATCTAAAACTAAAATCGAAATACGCGGTCGCCTTATAGCGCTATAAGCGCATGTCGTTTCGAGCCGCTGGTTAGGCCTGACTAAGTGACGTCACCCACGGAGCATGCAGGCCTTGTTGTATCGGTGGTAACGTCCAAGTTCGCCACTCACCTCGCTCCATTCGCCCCGCCCCACCGAATTCACCGCGGCCACCCTGAACTTGTACGCCGTGCCCGGCTCGAGCCCCATTTTCGGGAAGTGCGCCAGCTCGGGCAGGCTGTCTGCGTCCAAGTCGCCGGCGTCGCCCAGCAGGAAGTAGCCGTGCACGTCGCAGCTGGTGCCCTTGACGAAGCCGACCGTGTACCAGGTGTCCTTGGCGGGCGTGCCATCGGGCGGGGCGGGCCGCTTCGGCGCGTCCTGCGACCGGTCGAGGGCGGCGGACGCAAGGGCTGCAAGCGGATCGTCGGTCGGACCTGAGGGAGAAACGGAAGGGATTCGCGATAGAAAATAGGCGTACACTAGAGTCACTGGATGGTTAGTTAGATAAGAGTTGTTCGAGGGCGGCCAACGCAAGGGCTGCGAACGGACGGTAGGCACGGTACGCACACGTAATCATAATAAGTAAAGGGGAAGACATAGGTCCAACAAAACCTAAATCATGGAGACCGATATGCTTATTGAACTCGATGGGTAAGTTACAAGAGAAAATCCTATGCAAAAGACTAGGTAAGCATAGAGAAACAATTGGAGTCCACCCAGACCAATATGGCTATAGGGCTGGAAAATCAACAGAAGACGCGATAAACAAAGCCATAGCAACGTAGCGGCAAAAAATATGTAATAGCAATATATATAGATATATCAGGAGCATTTGATAATCTCTGGTGGCCCGCATTCTTCGAAAGACTTCCGAGAAATGCGATGCCCAGAAAAACTGTACAAAAAAGTTTCAGAAGCTACTGTCAAGATAGAGCTGTCCCATAGGCAAAAAGTCAAAATGTCTGACAAAAGGATGTCCTCAAGGTTCTGTGTGCGGCCCAGTCTTCTGGGATATCATGGTCATAGAGCTGCTTGTCCAGATGTTCGAAACTGAAGATGCACTAGGCACGGTTGCATATGCTGATGATCTGCTAATAATAGTAGATGGTGGGAGCAGAAGAGAAATAGAGAGAAAATGCAATAATGTTCTGGAAATCGTGAACAGATTGTGGTAAAGCGAAATTGAAAATATCAACAGAGAAAACCACTTACAACATAGTTAAAGGACAACTGAACAGAGATCCGCAAGTTCGAATCAATGGTCGGTTGGTTCGAAGAACAAAGAGAGTCCGATATCTGGGGCTCATAATGGATGAGCAAAGAGGGTTCCTCGTCAGAATGACAGCGGCCTTCAGCACAACTGCAACGCTGGCCCTGACAACACTGGTGAAGGTCATGCCGATGCAGCTAGAACTGAAAAAGAGAGCAGCCATGTACTGGATAAGGCGTGCAGACTACGTAAAAGCACAGGCTGTAATGGGGACAGAAACAAGAACAAAGAAGGAAGTAAACAGGGAAATAGCGAGGCAATGGCAAGAGATGTGGGACCACTCAGATAAAGCGAGGAGAGTCCATGAAGTACTACCAATACTGGAGGAGATACCACAATATTTCAATCCAACTCCTGGGTTAGTCCACCTAATCACGGGGCATGGGCCCTACCCGAGCTACCTGAATAGATTCAATTTGAAAGAAGACAGTCTGTGTGAATGCGGAGAAGAAGGCCTGCCTGAGCACGTTGTTCTGGACTGTTTGATGTACAACGACCAGACAACCTGAGAAGAGGACTATAAGGGTTGAACCTCAAACAAATGATAGAAGACCAGGACAAATACGAAATACTAAACAAACTAGCGCAGAAGGTTTCCCAAAACCAACAGAAGATATTCAACGCTAGGAGATGAACTGCAAAGAACACTGAACAAAAACACCAAACGTAGACAAACACCGAACTAAACTAAACGAGACCATAAGATAAGAATGAAAAATAAAGAAGGAAGAAACAACAAGACCACCACTGATCGGGTGGAGACGTTCTGGACAAGGGCCAGAGGCTCGCCGAACTACCACCCGAATAAGAGGTGCACATGTCTGCCAACCTGAAACAGGATAGCAGGCAAGTAGTAAGTTAGAATACTTATGCATGTAGCTAGCATGTAGTGCATGTGTAGCATGCAGTGCATGATAACATAGAATAGAGTAGTAGTAGTAGTAGTTGCATGACTTAGTGCAGATTCGCATGTAATAGTAGAAGTAGTTCATTACTAACATAGGATTAGTAGAAGTGTTGGAAGGAGGATATGTAATGAAAATAATCCTACACCTAGTAGATTAAGGCTTTTTTACTAACATAATTGTAGGTAGAAAAACAACGATAAAAAAGGAATTTGAGAAAAAAGATAATAAAGTAAAGTAAAAATTACGATCTGTTTCAAATTCTTAGTAAACAGATTAAAATGAATAGGGTAAATGAAAAAAAAAAGTCACTGGATGGTTAGATAGATAAGCGTTCGGACACAGCTGAACTTCTGTCCTTTTCTATTTTCTATAATATATTGGTTTGAGTGAATACAAAAATAAGACATATATTCTGCTCCAAGTCTTTTCAATTTCCCTAGTAGCGCCTGATTGTCAGATACGATTTTAGAGGTTACATTTTCTGTCAAATCAATCATAGCCGTAGATGGACAATGGAAATAGGGTATAAACACCCACTTCAATTTATAGTGATACACTTCTAGCAGAACAACTGTTATATAAATGAAAAAAGAATGCATGTAGAAAAATTTTAATATTAGAAGATTAAACATATGGATAAACTTAAAGCTATAAATCCCTATTGTATGTGAAACTGTACTCCAGTGATAAGTATAACTCATGAGTACGTTCAAGTGAAGTATTCCTGAGACAATTTCAAGAAATAAAGTATATGAACTTGTGTCCGGAAATGCTTTATTTCGGAGATACAGGGTGTTGGAATACAGAGAACAAACCATTTTTCGATAAACATTTCATGAGAAAAAAGTAGTTTATTTTGACAAGACCTACCACATACTTGGTTTCGTAAAGTTCTCAGCAGCTTCACTCAGCTAAATTTTCCTAGATTGGGTCCTAATAGACGGAAGAGGAAACTTCATTTTCAGCAGGTGTTCATAACCTATGGTACCACAAGTATATTTGATGGCAAACGCTTTATTTATTGTTCTCATTTTCCACCTTTTCTTGCATTCACCTTTCACTGTTAAATTTTGAATTTGGTCAGTACAAAAACGCCATTCAATAATACATCACGTTGTAGTTTACTTGCTTTTCTTAGTTTCGTTATCGAATTTTCAATTTCATTATGTAATTTTGCGATAAATTTCTCTTTTCCCATGATTATTTTGTTTTGTATTTTGTGTGATGACAATGATCGAATTTTGTTCTTGAAATCGTCTGCTTTGTAAATTGGAGGAACAGCAGATTCTCTCAAACAGATTTTGAAATCTTCTGTTTGAAAATGGGCCTGAAATAAAGTTTAATCTTAATCAGATGCTGCTATAAGAAGTTAATTTTAATGAGTACCTCACAAATTTTCCTCGTCTTCAAATTGATTTTCCAGCCAGTCCGTTTCATATCTTCCTTCCATAAGAGAATGGTTGATATTTGTTTTGGAAAATTGAATAAATGATATCCACTTTTTTCGGAATTGGCACAGTTCAAAAAAAATTCCAATACCTACCTCCTGTCCCTATCCTCCCTAGGAACGCACGATGTTCTTTTAACATTATAGGGATTCCTTTTCGTGCGCTCCAAGCGATAAACAAAAAAAACAATTCATTTCCATAACTGATTTTATCTCGAAAGTATAATCATGAAATTTTATTTCAACTCTGACGTTTATAAAATTTGTTGTAAAATTCAAACAATTTTGAATGAAAAAGCGCGGGACGACTATGGTGCTCTTGTGACAATGTAAGGTGTGAAGCTTAATAAATCTAAACATTCAAAAACCCGAACCGTTGTCATTTCTGTGTCCGAGCTCTTATCAAACTAATACCATCCAGTGACTCAGCGTACACCACCTATCGGAGTTCTTGAAAGCTGTCAAAGCGGCCTGTTTACTTCAATTTCATTGGTTCATATTTGTTTTTTGTTTGTGCTTATTGGTCATTTCATCAAAACAAACCGCTCAGAAGTGTTCCAAGTTGTTTCCGTCAGGGGGGGGGGGGGCAGCAACGTGTAATTTTCTATCGCGAATATGGCCTACTGTGTACTGTGTGATGCTCTCATGACTATCAGCAGGGCCTATTTTTGATTTAGTTGGGCCCAAAGCCCGAGCAAAATTTCGAGGCCCCAATATCCTATAATATGACTTTCCAATAAGAATGTTGCTGCTTATCTTTGGCATCTACAGTTTTTGTTGTTCCATGAAATGAAAGAAAAAAGATTGATGAGAGTGTAATTTTAAATTCATTAATTGATAAATGGGACGGTGGAATGGGACATAGAAATGTTGCTGGATCGAATACCGACGGAGCAGAAATTTATTACATAAAAATCGAGTAATACGTATAAATGTTCGTAGTGGTGGCCGGAGATGATATCGTACGATTCACTGTTGCGTTTCAATAAACAGTGCGGCGCCAGGTGGCGTATAGAGTTAGTAACAAGTCTACATATAACACACATGTGCTGAAGGACCTCTCGTAAGGTCAATAGCCAGTTGATGGATATACACATCAACAAAGTACATTATGTACATCTGAAAATACAAAATATGGTTTCAGAAAAAAACATGTTCCTCTAGTATGTGGGGCTCATTATGAAAAGTCGTCTTTACCACTAGGTAAAATAAAAACTATTTCAATTCGAATTTAAAAAAAAATTACATTTGAAATTTATGTAAAAGTATCATTCGAAAAAACAAAGCTGCTGGCATTTCCAGAAAAACTAGAAGTCAGCCATATTGAATTGTAATGTAATCAAATCCGAAATGGTTGCTTATAGAACTGTATCAAACAGAAGAACCCGTTTAAGAATGCGGAAGTTACAGGGGTAGCCCGATACCCTGTATCACCCGGTATAGCAGAAAGCTAGAATGAAATGGACTCACTGTTCACATGCAAAAGTAGGAAAAGTGAAGGTGTACAGGATGTCCCAAATTCGAGGTGTTTTATTCGGATCTCGGATACCATAAGAAATACAAAGTCGGCTATATTAGGGCGAAGTTGGGCAACGGAATGCCGCCTAAAAAGTTTGGAAATTCCGAATATTTCCGAAGTTATCTGAAAAAAAAAACCGAATATCCGCGATTTCGTTTCAAAATTTTTTTTGGACTATATTTGAAGTGATATGAGAAAATGAGTTTCATATCATTATTGCAATTATCACAAAAAATGTTTTTTATTTCACTCATCTATTACTCCCCGTGGTTTAGATCACGTGGTAGCCGCCAGATGACACTGTTCGAAAAACAGACAATTTTCCATTTTTTTCTTGAAATTTTCGAGAGGAATCATATATTTCTCTTCATTATTATCATTATTATATCATCATGAAAGTTGAGCAAACCGCAAAGTGATATCTCCCGAAGATCCGAATAAATTCTCATTCCTGCACATTTCAGAATTCCAATAGTACAGAATAAAATAAATGACCTTGGTATAAAGTATTGATAATTTACCTTCGTCTCTCTTATCGATAAAAAGAGGGTCTTCCGTTTTCGCCGCTTCCGTTAAAGAGTTGTCGAATCCGCTGTCAGGCTCCATTTTCATCATCAGCTCGGAGTTCAAGTTCGTTTCGGAATCCTCCGTCGGCTCTTCTTCTTGCTTTATCTCGGACAGTTCCGGTTTGATGTCCAAGTCGAGGTCCATCTTATCGCCGACATTCTCCTCTTCTTCCTCTTCTTCGCCCTCCTCCTCCTCCTCCGCTTCTTCCTCCTCTTCTGGTTCGACGGGCTTCGGATTGCCGTTGACGGCGGTTTCTTCCGTGGAGTCCGCCTCTGCGGTGGTGGTGGAGGGTTTCATTGCTGCCTCCAGTTCGTCGTTGCTGCCTCCGTAAAGCCCCATGCGATATCTGAAAGTCCATACGGTCGCTTGTAAACAGTATTATACAGTTATGGCTTTTTCAATACACAGTCATGTATAGACCATTTCTTTGTTAGACATAGGAATGAATTGTGCAATGGTATAAATTCTGTGATATTACTTAGGGACTTCACCGACCATCATCCCATTTTGCGTAATATAAGTCTTAGCCTAAATATGGCACATGAAATCAACAATAAAACAGAAAAATTAATCATGAGAAACTAACCAAAAATCTGTCTGAAGCCGAATGGGATGACGTTCTTGAGGAACATGATCCTGATATATGTACAAATGTGTTTATTAGGAAGCAACAATGTTATATCAATAACTGTACTAGTACAATAAGAATTAGTAATAAGAAAATGAGACTGAAACCTTGGATCACACGTGGCCTCCTAATATCAATCAGGAAAAGAGACAAATTGAAAAAATACTGCACTCTGAATCTAAATGACTTGAATGCAAAGGATGAATACAAGCAATACAGGAATAACCTGGCAAAACTAATAAAGAAGTCAAAACATGAATACTATGAGGTTAAAGTGGAACAAAACATACAAAACCCAATCAAAACTTGGAATGTCATAAAGGAGGCCACGAATGATCAGGTGAGTAAATCAGAGATTGAGGCTATTGCTGATGAAAATGGTGTAGTGCTGGAAGAAGGGGTGTCAATTGCAAATGAGTTCAATCGATTCTTTAGTAGTGTTGGTAGACTATTGGCAGAAAGTATTGAGTCTCAAAAGTCAAGTTATTCTAGTAAAAAACCAGCTCTCAATCCAAAATCATTTTATTTATCACCAATATCTGATAATGGATTTATAAGTCGAATAAGTGAATTAAAGAAAGGTGCAGCATGTGGAGCTGATGGTATTACACCAGAGGTAATCGAGACAAACCATATGTTTCTGCTAAAGCCTCTAAAACATATAATAAACAATGTCTTCATCACTGGGGTCTACCCGACTATTCTGAAAAGAGCAATTGTAATCCCAATATATAAACGAGTGGACAGGAAGCTCACTACAAACTACAGGCGAATTGCTTTGACAAGTACTGTTAGCAAAATACCGGAAAAATGCATTAAAATCAAAATCACTGCTTTTCTTGAAAAATATAATTTGTTGTTTAGTCATCAATATGCTTTTAGAGAAAGTACCAGCACAGAGGATGCTCTGTATCAAGTCACTTATCAAATATCACTTAGCTAAGATGGACAAAATAAAACTATTGGAATATTTCTGGACTTGGCCAAAGCATTCGACACTGTAGCATACCATATCTTGTTAGAGAGATTGCATAATATAGGAATACGAGGAATTGCAAATGAACTAATTGGGTCTTATTTGAGTGGTAGAACCCAACAACTTAAAATAGCAGATGCAATAGGCGATCTACTGGAGATGACATGTGGTGTGCCACAAGGTACTGTGCTGGGGCCACTGCTTTTCAATATCTACATTAACAAAATGCTTATAGAAGATTGAACAACAAGTTTCAAGAAAAAGTTGAAGCAAGACTTGATGAACAAATATCTGTCTCTAGTTATTTGATAATTTTTTCTTTGTATTAGCTGTTTCATTGGGCGAGATGACGAAATGACTAAATCTATTTTTGCAATTGTTTTTTCATACAGTCTAGGGGAATTTGGTTGAATTTGATATTTTTGTATTTATCGTATATGTAACACTTTGGTGTTTGAGAATTTTGTGCAAATCTTATCGTTTGTGAAGTTTTTACATTTGCCATGGATTTCCATCGAGTAACGGCCGAGTCAATTCAAAATGTATCGTATATGTTCCCTTCATTCTGTTCTGTTAAAAATGACTAGCATTCAAATTACTGATTCGTATTTAGAATAGAATAAGCGACATGGTTGAGTGGAAGAACAAAATCTGTTTTCAAAAAGAATTTTGAACCCTGCCTCTTGACAAACCTTCAAAACATTTATATTCATCATATGTTCATTTGTATCATAGTTATGTCAATAAAAGCGTAATTGTTATTATTTTTATTATTATATGTTCGATACTCATTGTACATTTTTCAAGTGACTATTCCACTCTTGAAATCGAGAACCAATCAGAATCGACCATTTTCACGGTTTCTTCTGTATTCTAGCGATATTTTATGTTTATTAAATTTTATCGGACTTGCTCTACCAATACAGATGCCGAAATGACCCACACGTGACCAACAAACCTCGTTTATCAGCGATCAAATTTTGACATCGTGTCTGGTCAAGATTGCTTTGGATTCGAATCTGAGACAATAACCCAAGTACCTACTTTATTTTACTTACTTATAATTCGCGTTAGTGAGACATTTTGTAAGAAAGGCGATACAATTTTATTCTGGCTGGACGTTTCATGTGTTAAAAAGTTTGCATATTTGTTGACGGCCTGACACAACGATACTAGAATTCAAATTCCTTTTTAAAGTAATCTTCTTCAATCACTCAAGTTATTGTGACTATAATTACCAGATGATGTAGCGCAACTGATAGGGTTGTTGCGCGAAGATACCAAGGTCGGTGGTTCGAGCCCCTCGGCGACGATATCTTTTTTTTTTAATTATTTCTTGTCACATAAATTCAATTTATTTTGTTTGAATTGGAAAGCAATTGTATACACTCTTTCGAGAGCAACCATCTCCAAGATAATAAAAAAAATACTGTTCATCAAAATTGTACATTCCACTTTGTGAATAACTATAAGTAGGTAGTTAATTTCTAAAAAATTGAATTCTGTATTTCATTACTATCATTATGTTCTTCTTCGCAGTTTGAGTTGGAATATACTTAAATTATGTTTCCTATTTCTTATATATATTATCTTATTTAATCATGAAATAGTCATACGAATACAACTCGTGATAATATTTTTCCTGGAAATATTCGTCGATTGACATACTCCAGCTTGCTGCTCTTATTTCGCTCATGACATTGATCCAAAACTACTCGCCTACGGCTCGTACTTTTGATAACAATGTCATTCACGGAATTACTAGGCAACAAGCTGTCGTAACAATCACCGAATATTTCCGGCAAAATATTAATACTTGTGGTATTATATACGAGTAAATTATCATTGTACCTGAATCCTTTGGGCGGCAACCTCGCCGCCCCGCCTTTCAACCCCAACCTCCCCAACCTCGCCGACCCGCCCTTCAGTCCCAGCTGCTGGAAGATCCCGCCGCCAGACAGCCCGGCGGCGGCGTCCAGGCCGAGGTCGCCCGGCTGGCCGGCCAGGTCGAGGTCAGCCTTGTCGGCTGCTCCCGCGTCGGGATCTTCGTCGGTCACCACCGCCTTCTCAGGCTCGGGATCGAGGAGGCCCGCCTCGGCCGCGAGGGCCGCGAGCGCGGCGTCCGTGGTCGCCGGGCCGTCGAACGAAGTCGAAGCTGGAAATTGATGGTGATTAAGAAAGAGAACTCGAAGTCGGCTCCCCTATTCAATTAACTAATTTGAAAAGTGGTATTTAAATTCCATTTTTCAAACTAAAGCTTGATTTTCATGACAACGTTTTGCGTCATGCTTCTTGCGTTGCCTCGTTCTGATTGGCTATTTTGACTGACGCATAATTTCGTAGGAATGAAGTTAAAAATATTCAACTTCTTTGCGTCGAACTCGAGAAAGCGAGAAATGTGGGATAGAGAACCTCTACTTTTGTAGGTTATGTTTTCGTTTTAGGTTTTCCCAATCACCCAAAACAGGAAGAGCACAGATTTAAGAAAACTTGAATTCAATGAAATTCATACTATTCACAAATTAGGTTTTCAATGGTTTATTGAGATATGGAAAAGTAAGTGACTACTATAGAATTCCATTGAACCTATATTAAAATCAGGGAATACCTATTAGTCAACCAAAATACTACAGATTGTTTTTTAAACAAAAACTAATGTATAGTGTTTTTAGTTTTATATGTGAGGAATGCAGGGAGCCCTCAACAGAGGTAGGTAGGTGAAGAAGTAGCCTCAAAAGAAGAGTTATTGATTCAACTCGCGAATAAAATTAGTAATTTTCTCCTTCGCCAATTTTGTTCATCCATTTCATATGTGAAAAATGAATATTTTAACACTGTAGGTGTCAAATTATTACTACTTTCGGCAATAATTATTGAAAACCTACAATAAATTTCAAATATTTGATTCAAAATGCATTCAAATTCAACTTGTCAAAATCTGGAAGCGGACGCATGTATGAAAATTATAACAAATTTCATCGAATTTGCGTCATTTGAATTAGCCAATTAGAACGAGGCAACGCAAGACGCACGACGCAAAACGTTGTCATGAAAACAAAGCTTAATTATGTATTTGGATAGTTTTTTCGCCTTCACGATGTTTTAAAATTTTTCACATACACTTTGATGTTGTAATTTGACTGAAGATGGCCATTTGAATGACCGAAACATATCTCAAACCTTATCGAAGCAGGATTGACTGCATCTTTTCATCATTAAACTTGTGGAGACGACTTCGAGTTATCTTTCATAATCATTCCACTCCACTTTGAGTATGGACTACTACAGAAGATCGATGGTGGTGTTTATTTTTTGCGCATGTCGAAGTGTGACGTTTTCGTTGTTTCAACCAATAGCAATGCGCAATTCTAGCCAATCATTCGGTATTATAACTGATAAAATTGCATGGTCCTTGATAAAACCTTGTGTACATTGAACTGTCGAGATTATTCTTACTTACTTACCAGTGTCCCCCATACATCCCCCAGACAAAATGTAAGTTTTTTAATCGTCTTTCAATACGGAAAAGAGGTTTCAATCCTCGATCTTTTCCCCTTGTCGCATGATTTTTTTGTATGGCGTTGCGGAATAATGTATTGCAAGAGGTACTGCAACAGTATGGAACTAATGAAGTACACGATCAAATGACCCAAATTACCCTAAAAATTGGCCGGAAAATTAAAACAATTTCCGACTTACTGGCGCACTATTCTTGTACGGCACTACGCGTTTTCTCATTATTTTTGATGCATCTATAGGTGGCCAGAGTGCCGAACCACTAATGCGTTAAATACCTCGCTGCAACACATCACCGTACCGCACTGCCTCAAAAGTCTGAACAATGGGAACTCCCAGTAAAAAACTTTGAACAATCAACATTTAGCATGTGGGGCAACTAATGAGATGCGTCTTTTCACTTGAGAACACATGTGCAGTCTAACGTTGACAGTATACCGGGAAAACTCAATAGAAAATATTCAATTTATTCCAGTTAGAATGTAAAGCAAATTGATAAATCCTCGTATCATCTTCAGAAACGGAAGTGTCTCGAATGACTTTGTAAAGACTAAACAAGATCAGAGATAACAACAAAACTATGATTTTCTTCAAATGATTACAGTTTCTAAATTTCACATGTGTAAAATGAAGGAATAAACTTAATCACTTCAATAATACTCACCGATTGTTGCGGTGGGTTGTTTCGGACGAGACACCATCATCAGCTTAGGCTGTTCCGAGCTATTCGTTGTAGTCGAGCTAATGGGTAGACGCACAATTTTACCAACGCCGCTGACTTGATTTGGCTGCACCAGCGTCAGAGTTTTGTTGCCGCCTGTCGCCATCTGAACTGTCACTTGCTTTCCACCGATCATCACTTGCTTCTGAAAAATCATAAAAAATTCAACTTACACGTAAATGAAAAATTCAGAAAGTTACTTCTACAACAATGTTTTTTCGATGAGAGACGAAAACACGAATGCTATTGAGTTTGTTGATGATACAGCGATAATAGCTTATGGAAGAACTCTAGAAAGGACAACATAGTTACTTTAGTTGACGCAATATCTTGGTTTCATAGATGGAGACTGAAAGACAATCCACAAAAAACAAAGTTGATTATATTCTATCACAAAATAAAGACTACATCCCAACTATTAGAATTTTGGACTATGATGTTGAACTGTAACGAACTACCTTGGAATAACACTCGATAACAAAGTGCATCTAAAATCTATGAAATGATTTGCAGACCAATAGTTGGATACGGTTTCCTACTGTATATTAATAATAATAATAATAATATTGTTTATTCCTATTAGCATACAGCAGCCATCCAAAAATGGGTATACATGCCAGTATTAAAATAGTTGAAAGTATGCAGCATAGACCAAGACATAATATAAAATTATGATTTACACATGAGATAATGAGAATTACATTTAAAATTACAACTTGAGATTCACACATAAGATAAAAAGAATAACATTTAACCATATGGTAAAAAGAATACAGGCTGAGAATTTGAGTAAAAGAACACCAATAATTGACAATTTGGGGTGTACACACTACCAATTACATACACTATATGCCGTTATAGCTAGATTCATAGTACTCATTTAGATTATAAAAAGCCCCCCCCCCTCCCCGGGAGCCAATATGCGCTTTATTGACGATTTGAACTTGGTTAGATTCATTTCTCTGATTTCTTGAGGTAAATGATTGTAGAGTTTGATTCGCAAATAGTCCGGGGATTTTTCAGTGTGAGATAGATTGTGTCAATTGATATCAAAATCATGAGCATTCCTGGTACAATATAATGTCATAAAGGAGAGTTTTAAATATTTGAATAGATAGTAGGGTTGAGATATTATTCTTTTTGAAGACATGCCTGCATGTGTCACCATGTGGAATATAAAGGTAAGTCTCATTGTTCTTTTCTGTTTGATGGCTTCCAGCAAAACAGAATTATCCCATAAATAGACATTGTATGAAAGATGACTATGAACTGAGGAATAGTATACATACTTATGAGATTACTCAAATTCGATGTTTTTTTCAATTGCACTAAAGTTCATATATGTCATCAAGATTTAATTTAATCGAATTATCGAATTTTGGGTGTAGAATAACTACTTGTGGAATATTGAGGTAGCAGCGAAATCCTGCCCTCAGTCAATCACTACAATTCTCCACCCAGATAACCTCCTACACAATCCATCCAATATTACACTCTTTAAATAAACTAAAATTGAGCCTATATTGACAAGATAAGAAGCCATTTATCAAAGTTTTTTACAATGACATCAACCTGCTATTGATTGAGCCCCAACTTATACCTGAACACTTCACTTTCCAGAAACAACACTGTATGAGTCCATACTACACATCAGAGAATACTGATCAATGCAAGCCTTGTATTCACTATTTTCTTTATATGAAACCATGAATGATATAAATTATATTGTAAATTCACCTAAAAGACCCAGGTTGATGTCCCCCCTTTTGGATGTTCCAAAAAAGCATGATAAACTAACTACCTGTCCAGAGAGTTTGAGAAGACTTTGTTCAACTCAAGGTTGATTTCTGAACACCGCTTTTATATTAATCAGTTATTCCACAACCATTGACGTGTTCACGATGATGTTAAAACAGGCTACTCCTATTCAACCATTTATTTGTATCTCTCAATTATTTCCTGGAAGATGTTCCAACTTTTATCTCTCAATGACAAATACAGGGTAGTCCTCAAGTAATTGTACATAGAAGTAGAAGCAGAATTTTGATAACAAATATCAGGTTTTGAGCCAACTTGCCTTGATAAAATATTGCTAATAAGAGACACAGGGTGTCAAAGTTGAAATTTTAAAATCAATTCATCGCAGCAACTTCGACGTTTTTGGGTGAAATTAGTCAATTGTAGTTCGCAATTGAAAGACATTGAAGATAACGAAAGATGAGAACTCACCGTATTCTTAGACAACGTTACAGTTTTAGGAGATCCAACTACCTGCATTGGCATCGAAATAGTAATAGGTTTTCCGGTCAGTTTGACACCCTGCAAACTGGTTAACGATGATGCAGAAACGGGTTGGGTATTGAGAGCTGTTGTTTTGACGGTTCCCAAATTAACTGCTTGGGCGTTCGTCAGAGTCTGTATATTCTTCAGACCACCAGTCGAACTCACAACCAAAACTTGTTGATTTCCTGTAATTGGATGAAAATGAGAGATACATTCCATTCCGAATTTGCACTGGAATCAACTGAGATGGATTTGGTTTCAACTTACCAATTGTAGGCATTTGTCCAGCTCCTTTGGAAAGAACCAACTTTCCAGTGGTTTTGTTCATTTGAATCATGTTGGAGGGTATCGTCTTCAATGTGGTCAGCACTTTGCTAGTCGGCGTACCAGGTACAATTTTGACGATGGTATTTTTCGATGGTTGAGGAATAACTGTGCCAGCTTTGCTCTGTATGAGATTTCCCCCTTTTGGTAATGTAGTCAGAGCCATTCCTACATAATATACAGAATCAGTACATGTTCTACCATTGGGCCTATTTCAAACATAGCGATTTTATAGTTCTCCGTGATGTTCATACAAAATTATTATACTCAAAGGAAAAACAAACTCAGAGTCGGCCGACCACTTTATGAAAACACAAAATTACGCAGTGACGGTTTCGGCACAACGAACATCAGACTGTAATGACCTGTTGAGAGTTATAAACATGAGCCATTGAAATCATAAAGAATAAAATTACGTCAACAACCATTTTAATAACGGCTGAAGAGCCAGAAGTCTGGCCCTTACTGATAATTTAGTGTTTTTATAAAGTGTGGTCGACCGACTGTTTGTTTTTCCTTTGAAAATACATTGGGGCACTTCGAGAATGGATGATTTCCATAGTTTAACTATTATACTTGATTTCTCATTTTAAGTGAGTTCAGAAAAAACAGAGAAACCTGAAAAAATCTGACGGAAACGTTACCATTTACAGATTTACAAGTAGTGATCATTTGAATTTTCAAGTTTGAAAATGGACCTAAACTATTCCTTATGAGCTGAAAATGAGCTCAATTATTCCCTGTTCATTCAATTTACCATTCATTCATTTATTTCAATATTTCAGACGGACAAAACTGAAACTAGAAAGGATTTTGAAAAACAATACTAATTATTCACCTGTGCTGGTTTTAACCAATGTAACAACTTGTGGAACTCCACCGGGTTTTTGAATAATGTTGGCGCCCTGTTTGATGATGAGCTGTTTTCCGGCAACTTGGGGTGTTGCCTGTCTTACAATGGTTCCAGTCGAGCCCTGAAGTCTCATGGGAGGAGCTAAATATTGAGAAACCATCACTTAGTCAAATGTTCAAGGTACTTGGGAGTATTTCAATGACTGCTGTAGAGTCGAACATCAATGATTTCTAAAAGACAGGGTGTTGACGTTCATTTCCAATCAATTGGACATGTCCGACAACCTACAATCCGATGCTGACCACTAGTATAACGGCATATTGAAGAACAAATTACAATGACGTCACAAAATACAGCAGACAATATATCGAGAAAAATATATTAAACATTTTTGATTGCCGACCGATTGCGACCACTTGGACCACATTTCGACCGCAGGGTTTTCAATTGATGACCGCATTGACCGATCTCCTAATGGTAACGTTTATTATTGAAGACCAGGACCGACCGATCCAATACCACATCTCCAGGGGCTTTCTGTTGGTCGATGTGGTTCAAGGATATAAAATATAACCTCAAAACAATCCAATTACTCGAAAATAGTCGAAAAGTGGCAAGGGTATCTGAAGTCTTCAAAATGAATGACTCAAATTGCTTATAATTTAACGAAAATAGCGTTACATCACTGTATGATTTGAGCGAAATATTTCTGGTAGGCAGTTCAAAATTATTATTCCATCCACAAAATCTATCTCGAGTAATTCAATGACTGATAAAAGAGATATATCTCTGATTTTTATGGTATCAGGATTATTTTCCGTACATTAACGAATGAGCAGTAAAGTTCAGGGTTTTTAAGGTTTTTGTCTTTTTTTGTATACAAGCGACCGGTCGAAAGCAATCGTATTTGTTATTTTGATCAGTTACAACCAAAAAATGATCGATCGAATGATCCTAATATGCGAGTTGGTTACAGAATTTTTCCGTCGATTATATTTCTCCTGCAATTGAAAACACTTGGTTCGCGAATTCATCAATCATCCATAAACTACTATCACCTAGTAGCCCTGCAAGTCAACTTGTCACTCACATTAGTGACATTTGACATTTGTCGAAATAATCAACATGGAAAAAAAATAAATCGGTTCAGATACGTTAAAAGGCTAACCCATTAACGTAAAATCTTCTAAAAGGCCTCTCTTGGAAAAGGCCAAACTAGATTCGGGGTGTGAAGGGGGAAGTGAAAATCTCGAGCGAGTGAGTGTCTTACACTAGTGTAAAATTTATAGTAAATTTGGCCTTGGGCCTTCGACACATCGACGGTGAAGTTCCTAGTAGTCATACGTAAAAGCAGATCTCTGAATCGGTCTCTAGTCGGCGGCAGCAGCAAGCCGGCCGGTTTATTTTGTTCGTTGCTTGGCATTTTCTGAAATCTATGCCGACAGGTTAAACTGATGATATACAAGGTTTTTTACGGTGTATGGAACATTAGAAGTATCTGGAGAACGAAACTACAGATCATTTAGAAAAATTTGTGGGCGTGGATAATCAAACATAATATGCTCTATCTGTCTATATATTCACGTAACCTGTGTTAAAATTCCATCGTCACACAAAATGACGCGTTTCCTTACTAGTTACGTACATTTTTTTTTTTTCAAATTTTGATGAAATAAACTACATCTCTGGGTTGAACAACAGATTCTGAAATATCGCTCATTATGTCAAAGGATAGTTCTAATTGTGCTTAAGAACATGTTTTCCGAAAATCTTGGTTAGCTATACTGGGTTTTAAATTATAGTGATTTTTTAAAACTCTTATATTTCGAATGCTTTTTTGATTGTCAATTTAGCAAGTAATTGAATCGTGAATAATCTGTCACCGACAATATTCAATAATTTAATAAGTTTGTAATTTGAGAAACAGGTGATATAATAATATGGCATGATTAAGTCAGAAAATACATGGTAACTCGAGAATAGTAAAAAATTGTAATTTTCGTGTTGTAATGAAACAATTCCAACAAACTATCATACTTGTGGTCTAAAACAATTAATTCAAGGACTACAGGTACTCAATTTCCTTTGTCCCACGACGATATCGACAAACGTGCAATTGCTAAATTATTTGAGTTTAGAGTCACTTCGTATATTTGGAAATATTTGTTGTGATGGATATAAGAATAATCATTCATATTTTATTGAGAAACGTAGTCAAAAAATAAATTGTTGAAATCGTTTCATAGGGATGAGTAATGACATGATAAATATAGAGGTTGCCCCATTCAAAATTTTGAATCTGATATCACGTGGGCGAAAACATAAAACTCATTGGGTTAAAAAATATCAGAAAAAGCTACAGGAATGAATTGTTTAAAGTCACAACTTCAAAATTACAATTCTCTATTACTCTCGAGTTCCGGGACATCCTGTATATTATTATATCACCTGTTTCTCTAATAACAAACTGTAATTGAAATAATGAATATTGTGGGTGAAATTAACAAAGAAAATAACATTCCAAATAAAAGTGTATTTATATATACAAGTTAAACACCAATACAGCTAACAGCGATTTCAGAAAAAAGTTGTTTTTAAGCACAATTTGAACTATCCTTTGACATGATGAGCGATATTTTAGAATTTGTTGTTCAACCTGGATGTAGTTTAATTTCGTGTAAAAAACACCTGTTTATGAACCACCCGGTATATTATCTTTGGTCATGTTTTATGACAAATAAACTGCCCTAGAATATGGCCCAATAATGTATAATCAAGACAAAGAACACTATGTAAATCTCTCCTAGCGATCAGAAATTATTTACTGATAAAAAATATTACTACAAGTTTATGCGAGTCTTCTCAAGTTTCCATGAGTGTATTTGGCAATTTGAAATGTTTCAACAAAATGTACTACTATCAAAAACATCAACAAAAATGAATTGATAATTTCGAAAAATCAGTAAATTGGATAACTTGTTTTTGAATAATCACGGCCAGCAATACTTTTTTTGTCTCACACAACGATATTGTTTACCTTCATTTGATTACCAATAACAGTGGAATATGGAGAGAAATAAATAATCGCTATTACTATTGTTGATATGCTCACTAACCTAACATTTTCCACTTCTTTTTCCTATACCTGGCACTGGCCTGGTATTTACTATATTAGGGCTGACACCTGGTCCAAATTAATTCATCGATTTAATAGAATACACAAATGGGTCACTTTGTGGTTGTATTTATATTAAAACTACAATTCGAACATCCTTGAAAATTGAATAAACCTGATCTGTGCATGCAGGTAGAATATTCTCACCACACGGATTATTTGTTGCATTGCATAGATATGGCACGGCATCCACGTTTCGGGTATAGTATTGAATTCGTGCCTGTAGTATCTGATGATGCATATCAACACAAAGTATAACAAAGTAAAGTCATCGTCCACCAATATTCTAATGTAAAGTATTCTGAGGTCTTGCTTCTATCTACTTACCTATATTATTATAATAAAAGTATTATAATAATATCTGCCAAGTAGGTCACATTGGTGGTTACGTCACATATTGATTTTGGTTAATTCTTTCGGTTGCAGATAAAAATAGCTTGTTTCATTCGGATAAAAAGACTTTGTTTTGTCATACAAAGTGTTACTTTTGATCCTAATAAAACAATCTACTATTTATCGTCCAAAAATATTATCACAAATTGTCTGTCTACAGAAAATCTATAATCTTGAAACCGACCCTGAATTCTGGCCAAAATGGCGTTGTTGGCGTAAGATTTCTATTCCTCATCAGATCAAACGAACCTACGAGAGTTGGTGAGCTGTTGGTTTGGTGAGCTGTGCCAAAACCATCAGCAGAACGAGGGCGATAACAGTACTGTCTCGCCCTGCTGACAACTGGAGTAAACCTATTCATATTATATCTCTTAGTTATGAGATCTAGCTCTCTCAAACAGACAGTAGTAGACGATAAATTGATTCAGCATCGAGATACAAAAGACATCCCTATAAACTTACCTTTGATTATGGGTGTCGTCAAGATCTTCGGAGATAAAATTTGATTATGCACGACAGTTTTCGTGACCTGAGTCGGGGCCGTCGTAGGACTGGCCAAAACTGGCGGGGCTGGCGCTGGTTTCGGAGAATTTATCAGGGGCGGTGGAACAGCGGCTATGGAAGATTGGGGCTTAGGTACGTTCGCGGCTGGTGGGGGTAAGTCATATTTTTGTATCTGAAAAAAAAAAAGGGTTGGAACAGGGTTATTTTATCCACATTCCCTGATGAACACGCAACTGCACTTCGGTAGAAGTTGCGGGGAGCAACGTCATAGTGACGTCAACATTAACCGTTCATATTTCTTCCACTTCAACAACAGCTGTGTCCCCATAGGTTATACTAAAGGTAAATTATTTGCAACCCACTTGTTGTTGAAGAAGTACTGTCATACTGAGTTGGTGAAATAGGGCAGATAGTGGAGTTGGGCCCTAACGGAAATGACGTAATGGTTAAATACGAAGGAATGAAGTTATAAACGGGTTACCCCCATTTCGATGTAAGCATGTACAAAATGAATTCGTTATCTCAAAAATAGGCGACTTTTTAAGCCCCTTCTCATGATATACAGTGTGTCTCACTTCTAATGGAAACACCCCTGTATCTCACGTATTCGTTGGGTAAGGATCCTGAAATTTGCTAGAGCGAGATATATACCAAAAATGCACTCTATGACCAAGTGGGGTCACATTCAGTGATATACACTGCTCGCCAACAGCCATGGAACCAACCCGATTTCCGGAAAATGATATTAGGAGTCAAAATAGGTTGACAATCACTTCGAATTCCGAATCATGACGCCCAATACACTAATTATTCATATTCTGAAAAAAATTTCAGATCTGACAATTCCATTTTGGTCTCACTTTTCATGGAAACACCTCCGTATCTCACGTAATCGTTGGGTTAGGATCCTGAAATTTGCTGGAGCGATAGATATACCAAAAATATACTATATGACCAAGTGGGGTCATCTTCACTAATATACACTGCTTGCCCGTGGAACTATACACATGTCCGGAAAATAATATCAGGAGACAAGATTTTGCCTCCTTATATCATTTTCCGGAAATTGGGGTGGTTCCATGACTGTTGGCGAGCAGTGTATATCACTGAAGATGGCCCCACTTGGTCATAGAGTGCATTTCTGGTATATCTCTCGCTCCAGCAAATTTCAGGATCCTTACCCAACGAATACATGAGATACAGGGGTGTTTCCATTAGAAGTGAGACACACTGTATTTGTTATTTTTGATTTTTTTTTATAGATTTAATGATTTATATCATTGAATATTTCAATGCTGAAAATTGGTACAGATATGTTGGCAGTATGATGAAATTCACAATAATAATGTGTCATTATTTCTCTTCAAAAATACAGTGACAGTACAGAGTACATTTTTGGTATATCTTCGCTCCAGCAAATTTCACTAATTTCAGGATGCCAACCAACGATTACGAAAAATACGGGGGTATATCCATGAAAAGTGATACAAAAATGAAATCTTCAGAACTTGGAATTTTCCAGGAAAACTATTACTAGTTAGTGTATTGAGCGTCCTGATTCCGAATCCGGAGTGATTTTCAATCTATTTTGCCTCCTAATATCATTTTCCGGTAATTGGAGTGGTTCCATGACTGTTGGCGAGCAGTGTATATCACTGAAGATGATCCCACTTGGTCATAGAGGACATCTTTGATATATGTCTTGCTTCAGCAAATTTCAGGATCCCAACCCAACGATTACCTAAAATACAGGGGTGTTTCTATGAAAAGTGAGACAAAAATAAAATTTGCAGAACTCAAAATTTTTCAGAAAAAATCTAAATAATTAGTGTATTGGGCGTCCTGATTCCGAATACAAAGTGATTTTCAATCTAGTTTGCCTCCTAATATCATTTTCCGGAAATTGGAGTGGTTCCATGACTGTTGGCGAGCAGTGTATATCACTGAAGATGACTCCACTTCGTCATAGAGTACATTTTTGGTATATCTTTCGGCCCAGCAATTTTCAGGTTCCTTACCCAACGAATATGTAAGATACAGGGGTGTTTCCATTAGAAGTGAGAAACACTGTATATATAAGAGACGTTACGTCACCGGTGTTCGCGTGATAACGTAATAGACGATTTTTAAATACAAATACAAATAAATTACAATAGTATAAATATGTATTCAGAGTCTATCAAAATTATGTATCTATAATATTATACAATAAATGCTTATTCGTTGAACTAAAATATGCTAAGGTCCGCCACTGAAAACTAAACATTATAGTGTCTTGTTTGATTTTGTTGATTCAGAAGCAAAATACATTAAATGAAAAAAAAATTACACTCTAATTTGAAATTAGTCACGTAGTATCATTTAACTGTTTGATATTATTTACAAACAAATATTCGAATCACTCATAATCTAGCAATGAGAATAACAGGAATCGAACGAATGGAAATTGTAATTATATAGTCTGTGGAGATAAAATGCTATTAAATAATGAAACACATCAGAACGGAGACTGCACAAATAACTCCTGAAGTTTTCGAAAAAATTGAGAAGAATCCAGCTTTCACATTGCTGAATGTCATCAATTTGAACATTCATTATAATTTTATAGAATTTTTATAGATAACAGTTTTGGTTTACCCCGAGGTTTACCCTGTATAAATAAATATTCGAATAATCATACCGTTGGATAGACTATTAGTAGACCTTTTGAATAAGTTGTCACATATGTCGCGAATCGTCGATCACTTCTTTATGCCAAAACCGGTGAAGTAACATCTTTCATTTGAATACCATCAGATGGGGCTTCAAGAATTGAATCTTACGAGTTTTTAGATTTTTTCAAAAATCGCCTATTTTTGAAATGAGAATGTATTGCATACATTTGCATTGTACTGTATATGGTTGCATTGGATTAGACACGCTAATGTTATTGAATATCGTGGACTTCAATAATTATGATTTGAGAAATGTAATCCAAAATAATAAAATAGATTTTTTTACTGAAACAGGCCCATTTGTGTTTGAAATATTATGCTGTCAATTTAATTAGATTTTAACAAGTTGCTTCTTTGAGATAATGATGTATCTGGTAATTTCAACAAACATTTGCCCAATTCAACAGGAGTAATTATTCGTACACAAATAATTAGTTGATGCAACCAATAATTTTTTGGTGTAACCGCTCGAAGACCCGTATTTTGTGTGAAGTTGAAGAAAAATAAAATCATATTTAGACTTGGGTATAAAACGATCATCACAAAGCAAAACGATATGAACATTTCAATTGGCGTTTAGTTCGGCTTAGTCGGCAACATTCTAGAATATTGCCCATAAAAAATGCCATAAACCAAATGATAGCCAACTATGGTTTAAACAGTCACGATTTTCTGGGTCTATACTAAAGCAAAAAATGTAGTCAATGGCCCTTAATAGTTTTCGTTTTTTGTTTGATGTCGAGACCAGGCTATAGAGGCTCATTATGAATCATGAATCGAACGTAAGCAAAACAAACAAAATACCATTGGATAATTTTTTCGATAAGAAGTACCGAATAAGCTTTATTCTGTTTATAACATCAGCAGAAAACAATAACAATAATGCTATTATAAAATATTTATAGATCAAACATTTTGACATTTATTCAATGGAAGAAAGCAATCAAAATTCTATTCGGTCGGTTTTCATAAAAATAAAATTTCTATTAGAAGTCGCAAAAATTTTCAATGAAAAAGTGTGCAATATTTTCCAACGGTACCGTCTTCAAATATATATTTTGAGCTGTTTTCAAATTCAAGAGCAAAATCTGAAAACTCGATAATACAGAGTGTTGTGTCGATCACACAACAATTCATCGAATTATCGTTAATCCAGACCAGATTTTTTTTACTGAATAAGTAAGTTGGTCGCTTGGATGGTAGAAGAAAAACGTTTATACCAAATATTAGAAAAATATACTAGGTGATTCGTTGGTTATATCACAGATCACCCACAGTGCCCATCCACCCCCTCCCCTGTTAACTTTTGAACCGATTGAGATGAAAATTTCAAATTTGTAACAATTGATTGACGTGAACTACTTTTCTAGCTGAAAAAAGTCAGCTTCCGAAATAAAATTGCGGCGTGACGCCATTTTGATGAGAATTATTAAATGGCACATAGGGTCGTGCGAATGCTATAATATGAAGTTTCCAAAGTTAATTTATTTTCGTCAGAAAATCAAAATGTGCCACTTTTTTTATATCTGTTAATCCATTAGTCTGAACCGTCATACATAAGATATTCCAATTCGAAACAGTTAAATTGAATGATGTGAAGTACATTTATTGCGAAAGAAAACAATTTTGAAAGAAAAAATGACGGCGTGACGCCAGTTTGACAGAAAAAAATCAATAGGCACATACGGTCGGGTATTCATTGTATATTTTCCTGAACAAATCGAAATTATTGTCCAGTATTCCTCAAATACACTTGAAGAAACACTTGAGTTGTGTGCAATGAAACACTTTGGTTGACAGATTTGAAGTCATCACATGAAAACCCAAAAAGAATTGAGCAGGAAAAGTGTGTGATATTAATTTGAATCATATCATAGAAGATATCTATCTATTCATTGTAATACTTGAGTCAACACGTGAGAATCCAAAAAGAATTGAGGAAGAGAAGGGTGTAGGTGTGTGATTAATTTGAAGATTGGAATCTATTGCGTTTTCCTAAATAAATAATGTGAATCATCAAGCACCTCCAGCATTTTGACTACAACTTATTCTTCAAATGGTCTCATGTAATCACTAACTTAGTCAAACATATTCCAGTGATCTGGCAGGGGCCATGGTAAAAAACATTTGCAAAACAATATGAATTGATAAAAATTGCGTTAAGTTAAAAATTACATTGGATCCTTCTGAGAAATGTTTGTTGATCACCTTCACTTTAAAATTTAACGTTTATTCGTGATTTTCTAGAATTCCGAAAATTAGTTTCCGAAAGATTATACGAATAGAGATAAATAATATTTTGAAATTGAAAGGCTAAGAAAGGATTCTAGACCTGGATCAGATCAAATTTTGTCCCAAAAACTTGCCAACCGATAAAAATTTTACGAAATCTCATGGGTGCTCGAATTTAGGCTAACAAATCGAGGTGATTAGAACTATGCTCAGTGACGCACTGGAA